ACTTTTATAATAATAGTCAATATATTCAGGTAATAGTTAATACTCTTGAAGTAATTTCAAACCTAATCAATGTCTAAATTTTTACAAAAATTTAAAATTACTAGAATTTATAAAAAAATACTTGGTTTAGAATAATTGTATATAACTGCCCTCACCTATATCATCAGTTTCACTTAAACCTGCTCAGGTCCTTTATTAGCGCTAGCTAAGAGCCATTGGATTTTCATTTTAATTTAGAAAAATTACACGTAACACCTCCACTCCCTCAAAAATTCAGTGGGGTATAACAATTACAAGATGATATTGGTATATTGTTATTACTTCTATTATTGTATTTGACTTTGAGGAAAAAGTAACAAGAAAAGAAAAAAAGAGGTCAAAATGAGGAGAAACAAAACCAAACATAAAAAGAATTCACATTAGGAGAAAGAGATTAAAAAAACATAACAGGAAATCCACATGAGGATAACATGAGAGGTTGTAGGGTTTGTGTTTGCTATAAAATTAAAATGTCTATCACGTAAAATTATATTTCTCATTCTAAATTTCTACTTTTATTTTCCTTCATTTTAATATTTTTTAAAAATTTTCATCTTGTCATGATCCATATGGGCCTAAAAGTTAGTTCTTAATTTAAGTTTTTTGCAGTAATTTTATTATTAATCAATGCATATTGATTTTAGAATTTTTGAAATGCAAATTAGATTTCAAGGAAATTTATGTAATGAAGAAGTACCTCTTGATTTTTTTATTTTACACTAGGTTATATGCACATGCAACGTACGTGGTAAAACACCATGATTAAGTATTTTCAATTTATTTCTTTACTAAAATTTGTTCCTCCATTCCACTTTGATAATTTTTGCACACTTAGATATCTAAACTTTAGCATGTGATTTATTTATTTTCTTTGATGTTCGTTTAAATGAGCTACACCTAATTTAATTTACATATTTATAAATGAATTGACAGGAGACAAATGTAATCTGAAGCCAATTTGAATCATCATGTTATTTGGACCGACATGAATCTAAGCTTGACCTAAGAAATTATAGTATTACAAAATGTAGAACCCCGTAAATTTTTATATGAATATATATGAATTATTAGTAAATAAATAATTCTTTTATGATATGAATATATATGAATTATTAGTAAATAAATAATTCTTTTATGATAAATAGCTTGAGGTCATTGATGTACATGATAACATTCTTTTATGATAAATAGCTTGAGGTCATTGATGTACATGATAACAAGTTAATTGAGATGATATGAGAATATGGGTGTAGAGTTTTGCGCGTTGGTTTTTGCAAATAAGTAAAACATGCACAAAAACAAAAATTTTCCAGATCAGTCGACACATCAGTCGACTAACTGTGTCGGTCGACACATCAATCGACTGATACGTTGATTTCCAGTTTTCAGGTTTCGGGTCTGTTTTGATTTTGGTTCGGTTTGGGTCGGGTTTAACTGTTCGTATATATCCCCTCTCACCCGAAATCACCCCCCTCACCTTCAGAATTGAGAAAACCCTAGCCCCCTCTCCCCTATCTCAAACCCTAGCCTTGCTCTTGGTGATTTGGGGAAGAACTTGGAGGATTTTTGGCGAAATCTTCACATTGCAGCAAGGGGATCCACACTCTCTCAGACCTAGGAGTCGTTCATCACCCAGAGGCGAGTAACATCTCGCCCAACTCTGCCCCTTTTGTTTTTACACGAATTTATTGAGTTTAATGAGTTTTGATTTAGCCAAAAACGTATTTTTAGTACAAAGAATGAATCTTTATGGTATATGAGGTAGGGTTTTAAGCCTCTCAGTTTATAAAAGGACCAACAATGTTTTATTAAGGAGATCTAGTTCTGAAATGTGTGTATAAGAGATTTAACATGAGTTTTGTTTTTAACATGAGATTTAACATGAGTTTTGTTTTAAGAATGATTTAAAACATAAATACACATGTTTAGGGTTTTGTTCATGTATTCACTTATGGGATTTATATTTCAGTTTAGTTCTTACATGTTAATATCAGTATTTTCATGCTTGGGATTGATGGGAATGAGTTTAGATCGAATTTGGTGTATATAGCAAATCTGTGCAGAGGTTCTGCAGTCTGTCGGTCGACTGATCAGTCGATCGATGAGCAAATTTTTAGCCATCAGTCGACTTATCAGTTGACTGACGGGCTGGTTTTGTTTTTCTCAGCTTCTCAGTCGACTGGTCAGTCGACTGGTGAGCTGAGGCTGTGCTGATGAGCTGTTTTACAGATTCTTGATCTGTTTGAGTTATTTTTCGGGCTCGCCTCGATAACCTGACCCTAGCTTATCATGTTAATGACTTATCTGTACATGTGGGATGACTTTTGACACAAGTTTAGTCATGTACACCGAGATGTGTGCAAGTTTAGATTATGTATATCTATCTGCATATACTTTTCACAGTTACACAGTCCTCGTGTTGGACTATAATCCATAGAAGTCCTCGTGTTGGACTATAATCCATTTCAGTCCTCGTGTTGGACATTTGCCACTTATTCCATGTGTTTGAAAACCACAGTATTTAGTTCCTGTATCGGACATATTTCTTAACCCTGTATATGATTTTTCTCACAGGAGTTTATGACATGACACTTATGTAGATTATAACATGACATACATGTAAGTTATAACATGATGCTCATGTAAGCTATGACATGACACTGTATTTATGCTCTGAGATTAGTTGTACTTCTTTTATTATTGTTTTCTGTACTAGAACCTCGGGTTTAGTGTTTAGGGATTTACAATTTGAGATATAAGGTATATACATGAGGGTTTCCTTGTTTGGATTATTTCGCTCGACGTACCTATGCTCGTGTTGTAAATTTCTAAATACCAAAATCCTTTTTAGTAAGATCAATGATTTTAGATCTATTATGTATTAACTGTATTTTCTTATACAACGAGCCCTGTTCCCTTGGGGTTGGTTGTGATATTGCTCGCTAGCGCTTTGACGCTCGTTGTCCCTCCCCTTTTCAGGTAACGAGCCAGGAGCCCGGAGAGTCGCAGGTTGATAGCGACACACTTTAGTGTTCAGCTGTCTATTTTAGCTATGTTTTATTTTGGAGCTCCACTGTAGTTTTGTTTAGACATTTGAAAGTCTTATTCTAGAAGTTGTAAAGGCTGTGTGCCTTATTTCCTCTTGTCGGATATTTGTATTTGAAACTTGTTGAGTATTTCAGTTATCTATTCAGACATTGACTATGAAGTTCTGTATGTTGGATGATGAGATATTAATATGATCACTATCACTTCATCAGTTACTTCTTGCACTATCTTTTACTTGCTTTTGTACCTACACCTATTGTTGACTCTACTAGATAGATGTTAATTGTGATGGTAAAATATGTTATTACACGGTGTGGTGCATGGTAGGTTTGACATCCTTGATTTTACCTTGGACTGCAGCCTTGTGTGAACCCAGGGGCGTCACACAAAAGTAAAAAACACTTAAAATAGCATTATAAAATAAAGATGAACAATTAAAGCAAATAAGATAAGATAACTCATGAAAAGTGGGCTAAAATAACACAAAAGAGAATATAGCTAGAGCTTGTTCCTAGTTCTTGATAGACTTTTAAAAAAATTATAAACTAAAGACTAATGCTAACTCTAGTACACTTTCATATGATGAAATCATGCGCATAAGCATACAAAAGTACTAAAAAAAGTTCACGTAATTCCCTTCTAAAGACTCCTAAGTTACTAAAAAAATAGACTATTCTATAAAATATTTAAAAAATAGTGTCTTTCATTCATTCTGTTTTATTTTTTATTGAGCCAACACCAATCATTCTCTATATTTATCTTTTTGATAAAATTAGACTACTTTTAAATATTAAAAAGGGATAGTAAACCTTAAATTTAAGTTAAATTTATATATCTTAATGAAAGAATATCAGTAAACTACTCTTTTCTTTGCTAAGTTTTGAAAATTTAGTCGTTTTTTATGATTTTGAATTTTTGAGGCCGTGTTGTGCAAATTTTTAAACCTTGATAGAGTATTTTTTTTAAATTTTAAATTTTAAGTTGGATACTTATAATTTTTATATTTCATATATTGGTGGTAAGTTTTTAAATGTCAGAATATTTCTTACAACTCTAAAATTTTGAGGGTATTTTTTGTAACTACTGAAACTTTAGATTGCTTTCTGTAAAATTTAAATTTTTAGCATTCTGTTGATATATTCAAAATTGATATGTACTAGTTATAAGTTTTGAAAATTTAAGATATTTTATGATTTTTAATTTGTGAATGAGTTTGTTTTACAATTTTTATAACTCTGAGGTTATTTTTTTCCAACTTTAAATTTTCAGGTGCCCGATGGTAATGTTCTAAATTCAACTTTGTTGTTTGCAAATTTTGGAATTTTATAATTTTATGTTGCTTTTTTATTATATAAACTTTTGAGAGTGTTTATAAAATTTTTAAAATGTTAAGGGTGTTAATTATAAATTTAGATTATGAAATTATTTGTCATCATTGCAACAAACTCGGGCACTCCAGAAATAAATGCCCTTTCATGAACAAGAGTGATTATAAAAGAAAGAATAAGAGGTTTAAGGTAACATTGTAGGATTTCTCAAGTGAAGATGAAGAATCAGAAAGCGACTTGAGCTCGAATGATAAGAGAGGACATAGGATTGTTATCCAAACCATTATAAAAATGTCACATGTTCCTAGGTTGGTTTTCGATTTGGTTGTTCATTTTTTATTTTCTATATATTTGCTACTTATTTTGTGTTTTAGCGAAAAACTATAGCAAATCGATTTAGCTCTCATCGAGGCTTGCATCTCAGATCTAACATGTATGTTCTACTCTATGTAGTGTATATAATGTGTCTCACCTAGTTGATCATTTAAGATAATGAGACACCACTTGATACTTTCTTTTTCCTAAAAGCAAAAAAATATCCAAAAGGGAGGGGGGGGGTGTCTATGTAGTCAAGCTGTTAATTACCTCGATAATTCCTTGATCTCCTTTTGGTGCACGGCTTGCACAGCATTGAAGTCTAGCTTGGCTAGCTCAAGCAAACAAGATCTCATTTCCTCCTCTTTTTCATACTCATCAATGTAATATCTTGTTTCCAATCTCGGGATCAACCAATGTGTAGGATCCTCAAGAGAACGTCTCACTTGCTTAGCTATATTTATATCCACATCTTGGCTTACACTCGAGAGATGCTTCGCACAAAATTCCTTAGCTTCTTCTAATATTTTTTCCCCAGGAATCGAGAGGTGAGTAGCTTCATATAAGCTCAGCAAACCCTTCACATCTTGGCTTAAGCATTTCATGAATACTTCCCCTTCCTTGAACTTTTTGAATATATCTAAATCATAAATACAAACTTTTGGTAAGAAATTTAATTCAGTAAATTGGTAACTGTCAAATGTCATCAGTTATGATGCACAAATGCTAGTATTTGTATGTAAAAATAATGTAGTCCCACATCGGATATTTGAGCTTAATTTTTTTTAATATATTATTTTAATTATTAATGTTATTGTTATTTTAAAATTTTAAAAGTATGAAAATATCAACAAACAAATGACTGCTAGAAGTAGTCTGTTGGAAAATGACTGTTTTTTACTAATGGGTGTTTTGAAAGTTCATGATTGTTGGAGACACTTTTTCAACCCTATAATGATTTCAAACATCAATACTTACTCCTTTCTCAAAAAAAATATGCAATCCTACAAACTTGTTTCACAAAGAATTTGTGAAAAGTTTCATATATGCTTACTAAAATTTTTAATTTTCTACTATATCCTAGGAAGAAATTTTGCATTAACCTGAAGCAAACTTGAATTACCAAATAGGACAAATATTTCTTCAAGGAAAATATTTCAAGCCTCAGAAATTTTGTCTCCTTCTTCATTTTTACTAGCAAGTAGTTAAGTCAGGAAAATTCAGTGTGATATATTTTAAGATATATAAATTTCAAGGTTCTGAGCAAGAAACCCCAAAGGTTCATGGGGTTTTGTGAAATATACCCACAAAATTATTTGAAAGTAGAATGAGATAAATCGTACCAGAGGATACACTGTAACCGTGTTCTCGAAGCAGTCTAAAGCAAAGTGCAGTCTCCTTCAATCCTTGTAAAGATTTGAATCCATCAACGTAGATTTCTTGTAGCTTATTCCCAATTTCCTTTTGGAAATGGTAAGCTAATCCAAGTCGTCGGATTGAAACCATGAGTTCAAGTGTGGCCGTCGGATCTTCGGTTTCCCTAAGCAATTGCTCGACTCCCTGCTTTAATTCTTCAATCCGTGCCTTGACATCCTCTTTCTTTGAGATGAAAGTCAGGAGAGTGCGTTATAAAATGAATATATTTCAAGATTTTTTTTTTTTTTTGAATATACAGTTTAATCATCTATTTTATTAATTAGCAATAATGATTAGTTTTCACTAGCAAAAATGTCCGCTACATTTAGGGGTGGTAAACGATCGAATCGAATCGAATACTAAGGTGTTCGTATTTGTATTTGTTTAAAATTATCGAATTCGAATGTGGACTCTAATATTCATATATCTAGTTTTTCGAATCCGAACTCGAATACTTGGTATTTGATAAATATTCATGAATATTCACGAATACTTATCGAATATCAAAGTATATTTATACCGCTAAAGAATTTGATTTTCAAATAGTATTAGAATTCATAAATAAAATGTATTCCTTTATAATATATGATATATATATATATAGTAAACTCGAATACAAAAAGATATTTGTTTAGTGGTAAATGAACTACCGAATCGAATATGAGCGAATACTTATTCGAACAATTATCGAACTATTTGTTAATTATTTGGTTCATTTCCACCCTAGCCTACATTTACCCATGCCTGTGAAAATTACAATCAACCTATTTGAAGGATTTTCTAATAAAATATTAAAGTTAAAAGAGGGTTTTCTAATAACCGCTAACTAAAGGAGGGTTTTCTGATACTTTGAAAGCTATGGAGGTCTCTGATAATCCTTCAACAAGTTGAAGGGATTTTCTGAGGTTTTCTGATACTTTGAAAGCTATGGAGGTCTCTGATAATCCTTCAACAAGTTGAAGGGATTTTCTGACTTTTTACCATAAAAATAACCAGAAGTACATTCTGGGATCAGAAGGTCAAGCGGCTAATAGAATATTTAAGCGCATAAAAATAACCAGAAGTACATGCGACATATCAAGAAATAACCTCGAAGAGGGTTTCCACTCCACCAAAGAATAGGATTTATCGAATTCCTTTCTTCTTTCTTTCATTTGAGTGGGGCAAAACAAAAAAAAACAAAAAAACAAAAAAACAAAAGAAAGGGGAGAAAAAAGAACAATGCAATTTATTCTGGAAGTTGAGAAACTCATTACCTAGTTATGAGCTTGGAAATGCGTTAGAAAAGTTAGCTTTAATATTAACTAGTGTGCATCCCGTGCAAAGCACGTCCCTCTTTTTTTTTTTGCTTTGATACAGTAATTCTTTTTTAAATACCACAGTAATTTTGTAAATGTAACAGTATTTTATTTTAAATGCAAACTTTTCTATTTATGCTACAGTAATTTATGTTGTATTGCTGTAGCACAAATAGTGAATCTTAGGATCCTTCTACAAGTATAGAGGAGTAGTCAGTAGATACATAGGGAGGGTTGTTGAAGAGTTGATGGATTGATCGATCTACAAGTATAGAGGAGTAGTCAGTAGATACATAGGGAGGGTTGTTGAAGAGTTGATGGATTGATCGATTTCAATGTTAAAGTATGATGAAGCTTCTCTTGTACTCATGGTTTCCTAAAAATTTTCATTTGATCCTAAACAAGTAAAGCAAGGAAATCTATTTCCTCCCTTGTTTCTATGGTGAGCCAAACCAAAACTTATATTTTCCAAGAAAGCCATGGAAATATATGAAAATTAATTTTTTTTATTAAAACACTTTTTCAATAATTCTAGCAATCAACCAAACAGACCCTAAAACAAAAGTTAAAAACTTACATCATAAAGGGTATCAATAGACTCGATGAACTGATGACTCCAAATAGCGGGTTGATAGTCAGCAGATCGTCGTGGTCCTGAATCCACTAAGTAGTCCGAGGCTGTTGAGTTAGCTCTAGATTGAAGGTATGAGAACATTTGCATGGGCTTCTGCATTTTGATAGAGAGAGAAAGAGAGCATTGAGCGTAATTACTTCTTCAACATCAATGTATATACATAACTAGGTGCCCTGAGGATTCTTGAAAATAAGCATTAGGGGGTGTTTGGTTGCATAATTTTATAGAAAAGTTTTCTAAAAATGTCTGACAATGACAATTCTGTAGTTAAAAATTTTCTGTAGATTTCCGTAAATTGTGTTTGGTTCAAAAAAATTTACAGAAATATTTTTGTAAAGTACAAAAAGTATCAAAATTTACAAAAATTAATTTCCTCTCAAAATGGACGGAAATCACCTAAAAATCTGACACCATATTGACACTTTTCTATAAAGTTGACACTTTTCTATAAATTTAGGGGTGTTTGGTTCAATTTCTACAAATTATAGAAAATCTTGCTATTTTCTATAGAGTTATGGGTCATTTTCTTGTTTTGAACCAAACAAGCAAAGTAAAAAAACAAGAAAAGTAGTATTTTTTGAATTCTCAAAACTTTTCCTATAATTTTTTTATGAAATACAAGGAAATCATATTTTGGGTGGAAAACATTTCCTATAATTTGTAGAAATTGAACCAAACTAGAAATAGGAATAGAAAAATAGTTGTGCCTCGCCATGGCGAACCGATGTTAGGAAACTTTAACTTTTGGTTTCAACATGGTTTCGAGTAGAAAATCACAAGAAGAAATAGGAAGAGAATTCAATTGTCCTCGATCTTAAACAATTTGCATGCTGCAAGTTTTGAGAGAATGAATGTTTTTTCAGAGAGGAATGTGGATCTTCATGTATTCATGTGTTTGCTTCAGAATTTAAACAATAATTTTCAGAAGCAAATCTCACGAAACCCACGTGAATTTTGGGGTGAGTTGCAGATAATGTTACACGTGATTTTGTATGAAGAAGGAAAAATAAAATTTGTATTTGACTCACCCAACTCCCTAGTCCCTCCACTTAAGCCCAACTATTTTCCTAGCCTAGCCTACCTATTACACCAACCATTACATATTTTACATTACAATTAAAATGCTATAAATGGGGGAGGAGTGATGAAGGGTTAGAGACATCGGATATAGAGAGGAGTTAGAGAGAAGAGAGAGACCAAGAGAGTTAATTTCTCTCGTTGTGTGATTCTTTGGTGGGGTTAGAGAGTGATCTCCCTTATAATCTTCTCTTTTATGATTATGAATTCCTCTGTTGTTCTCGTCCGTGGACGTAGGTGCTGTTCTCGTCCGTGGACGTAGGTCATAGTGACCGAACCGCGTTAAATCTTTGTGTGCTAATTCTCTATCTCTATTGTGATTAGGTCGTACTATGTTATTATTCACTTTGTATAGATACCTTCTGTGTTTGTGTAGCCCCTCACTGTAACAGATAATCCCTGTGACCTTTGAAATATCAGATCTCCTGGCAGCAATTTAACGTTGTGTGACAGATATGATGAGAACAAAAATCACTAAGATAGTTCTGTTTTTGAAATAAGTGTGAAAGTTTTGATTATAAAAAATGTTTCAAATTAAGTATAAGAAGCAGCTAACCTGCAGCAAGAGTGTAAACAGTAAATTAACAGAAATAAAAGTTTACATCATAATGACTGCCAATGGACTCGATGAGCCGATGGTTCCAAACAGCGGGTTGATAGCCAGAAGATCGTCGTGATCGGTTTCCTGAATCCACGAAATTGTCCAGTGTTGCATGACATAGATTGGTTCTTTTTCCAAGGGATGTGGACCTTTGGATCTTCTGTACGTTTAAATATATAGGAAGGTTATACATACACTTTTGAGGACATTATTCTTCAAGTTCGATATACATATTTGGTGCCTAAGGATCCTATTCACAAAGGAAAGCAAGTGAAAATAAGGACATGAAGAACAGGCAAAAGTTTAGACTTTACACCAAAGAATTTACTCGTTGAGTGGAGTGTGGGGGGCACTTAAATACATTCTAGTGTTAATTTTAGATAACCCACCAGAATTTTGGATGGTTTTCACATAATTCTCTTGAATTTGTTCATCTTACGTAACCTCCTGAACTGTAGAGTGTCTCACAAAAATTTCTTAACTTTAACCTTTTTTCATCGAACCTCATTGTTATTGCAACTAATTGTATATAATGTCCTTGAGAGAAAACATACGAAATTAATTTATCATTTCTCATTATAGGCAACTCACCCTTCTCTTAGTTTTCTGGAATTTTTAAGGAAATCTTATTTATTTACAAATAACATGTAGGGTGTTCACCCTTCTCTTAGTTTTCTGGAATTTTTAAGGAAATCTTATTTATTTACAAATAACATGTAGGGTGTTCCGGGAAGAGAAGGTCAAAGTTCAGTGGGTTTTATGAGACACCCCACAATTCAGGGGATTATGCGAGATAAACAAAGTTTATGGGATTATTTGGAACGCCCCCAATCACTCCCCCCCAAAAATCACTCCCCCCAAAAAAACACCCCGAGGCAAAACAAAAAACAAATCCCCAAGAAAATAATATTATTTAAAAAATAAAAAACTAAGAGTTAGGGTGGTTTTTGTGAAATTAACCGTACATTTTACGTTTGCAGAAATGTCATCCCTCCGTATAATTGTATTACGGTTTGTTAGTCGAACTTTACACGGCGAAACATATATATTGAACTTAAACTTAATTCTACAAGACCTTATATATTTTCGCTTGCTTTCCTTTGTGAATAGAATCCTTGGAAAACAGGCATGTAAAGGGGGGAAAAGAAAAAAAAAGAAAAAAAAGAAAAAAAAAACTAACCATTTTGAAGGAGCAGGAGACCGAGGCAGGAGAGAAATTGAGGCTCGGCATGGCGAGCCAATTGCCGGAAACTGGAAAATTCAGTTTCAACATGTATCTTAAAGCGGAATTAGGCAACAATTAAGAAGTTACTTAAAGAGGAAATAAGCAACAAGAAGTTGAGAGTACAGTTTTGTCGTGCCTCAATCTATATAAAGTAAAGCTAAGATTAATTACTAAGGGGCAGGCACACCACGTGTAACATGCATGAACACGTGTACGCAGGCATACGTGCCCTCTAAAAATTTTTAATGTAACGCTAATTGTCAAAGTCCCTACAAATATATCCTGAGTACGCAGGCATTGTTGTTTCTTGTGCACTAAAATAGTTTCTAGATCCAACCTAATTAATGAAATAAGAATGGATTGTTTTAAATATAAGTTTGATTCCTCCTGTATATTTTGTTAGTATAGCTAGCCGTGCTAATCAAGTATTATGCGTGACTCCACCCCCAACTAATAAATTAAATGCATATTATAAGATTGCCAAAATTGGAAGGAAGGAGTAGCAAGAAGTTCTCTAAGATCCGTTTCAGATCGATTACTTTTTAGTTTAGTTTTAGAATATTTTAATCTAACCTGTCCTAATTAATC